AATGATCTCATCTTTCTTATAAGATTGCATATTTCTTGGTAAGGAGCAAAGCTCCTTTGTTTGAAATGTTGTTCTTCTTTGTTGTTGATAAATTTTGGAAAGTCTCATTTTTAAGAGAGATTTTGCTAAAAATTTTATAGGAAATTATGAATTTTGTTTGCATGAAAAATATTGAAAAGAAAATAAAATTCTATTTCTATATTAAATGTGTTTGTGCTTAAAAACTTCAAGTTTCTTAAGTTAAGATTTATAAAATATGAGTTTTGTGTGTGTGTGTATATATATATATGTATATCTCATACTGGTCACACCTTATATTTTGGGACATGACACTTTCAAATAATTTATTAATATGAAGGACATTATTTACAAAAATATTAATTGCTACACAGATTTAATTTTGAAAAAATAATTTATAAATAAGATCATGAAAGGTTTCTAGAGAATAACATGTAAATGGCAGAGGAAGAAGTATTCCAAATATAAGACATTTCATGGACGTAAAGTATTAGTTTCTCTTCTCAATTTATAAGACAATTTTGAAAGTGATTTGTGTTTCAAAATATAAGATAATTTAATAATAATAAAGTTTAATTAAATATACTTTTCAATATTACCCTTCCCTTCTTATTATATTATTTCTCTAAGGTAATTAATTGAAGGGTATTTTTAAACATTTATATTTATATTTTGAAAAAATAAGATTGTAAGATATATTTAATAAGATTTATCAGTATGCATAATTTTATAAAAAAAATGGTCTTATAAATTGAGATGAATGGAGTATAAGATACTCTTTGTAGTATTAATTGCTTTTTTTTTTAGAAAACTTGATACAATACCATGATATTAATTCTGACATTATTAGAAGCAAAATTAGAAAATTGTTGTAGTTTTATATGCTTTCGATTTTTGACTAAATAATAAATTTTTATTGGCATGCAAAATTTGATTAAAATCATAACATTTTATATATACGAATGAAGGGAGTATTTAATTATAGTTGATTGTCTTAATATACCTAATCTGAATCATTAATTTTTAGGAGTATTTAGGATAAATATATTAATTATTAGTCAACAGTCAGTTGTCCTAGCGGCAACATCACCCTACTCTCTTGGAAGAAGTACTAGGTTCAAACCCAGCATTGACATGGTTCGTGGTGTGCATGGTTGCATGTGTTTATCTTTTTTATGGGAAAGGGCTACGTTAAAAGTAAAATTTAAATAAAAAATTATATTAATTATTCTTGACATTCTACAAAATGCCAGGGAATATCAATAACTCGAGAATGAATTATGATGGAGAAGCGATATGAATATTATATACCTTCAAGCTTGAGAAAACAGCGGGTCAGGCCAGTTTCATATCTAATGTTGGGATTGCAATCTCAGTCAAAATGTCGTGCAGTCTATTTTTTCATGGATGGGTTTCTCTCTACTTTTTCTCAATATTACTTTTTAATTGTAAATCTAAATCATTCAAATTAAATTTATACCTGTAAAAATTATTAAACTTATGTTATCAAATTCAATTTAACCGTCTAGATTTACAATAATCTAAGTATAAGAGGACAATTCCTTTTTTTTCCCCTATCCAGATGGTATTGCATTGAACTATGTAAATACCACTTGGGCTTGCAGAGATAGCCCCACATATTGGCTGCCCAACTTGAAACAGAAAACGAGGAGGAGTGAGTATCAAAATTGAACAACAATTAAACCATAAACATAGATATTTTCTAGGATAAGATCTACAAAGATATTTGGGAGATGAAATTAACAGTATTAAGCTCAATGAACTGAAAAAATATTTTATAAAATTAAAAGATCAAACTAAAATCTTTCATAAGATTTGAGGATTATACACTTTTACCACGGAGTTGTCTTAAGAAAGTTTGTTAAATTAATACATAAATTAATATTCTAGTTTCCTACTATATGCTTGCAAGATAAAATTTTATATATAATCATAAGAATAAAAAAACTCTATTAAGGTATGTTTGAATAAAAATTAAAACTCGTAAAGTCTGGTAAATGAGATAACAAATGAAAAATTAATTTCACCTAAACTTATTTTTGCTTTTTTATAGTATGTATGATACAATACAATGAAAGAGTAAAAATAAAAGACTTCCTAATACAATACAACTTATTTTTGCTTTTGTATAGTATGTATGATACAATACAACGAAAGAGTAAAAATAAAAGACTTCCTAATATTGTTTCAATTTTTTTAAAAAAAACTGATCTTTTAAAGTTCCTCGCTTGAAAAAGAATGAGGAGGAGAAAATTTTTCAAAATAAATTAAATATTATCTATAGATATCCCAACAAGCAATTTTCGAGCCAGTCTTAAATTAAACTTTAATAAATTAAAGTGCACAAGTGGTTTATTTAAAAATGATTATATTACTCATTGACGTTTTCTATTTGAGTGTTGGCCTATTAGACTCAAATGAAGACAATAAGACCCACCAACTCAAGAAATTAAAAGATTGTGATAAATGCAAGCCAATGATCACTGAGCTCCAAAATTTGAACGCGAGCGCGTGAACTCGAAGAAAATAAAGGAAACAAGCTAGCTAGTTACCAAACTGCTATCGTGTCTTTCTCTTCGGCCCTTTTAGTTAATTTTTTAATGCGCCTATTATTTTATTTTGTTGTTCTCCTCTTTTTCTTCGCCTTTGGATTATTATATGCTTTATCCACTTAATCGACAATGTTTTTTTTAAATAGGAATATAATCCGCAATGTTGACGTAGAATGCTTTCAACCTGTATCACACATACTAAGAAAAAAATTATTTTTTTAAATATAATAAAAAAATTAGCTTATTTTTTCAGTTTTGTCCTTATAATTTTCTATGCATAATTACTCAACCCACCTTAACTAATATAGGGGTAGAAAAGAAAAGATTAGTTTTAAAAAATTACAAAATATCTTACATTTTAGACTAACAATAACTGCTAAAAAATGACTTATTTTATGGAAAAAAGTTTACTTAACAATTTGGCACTATTTTTTTTTATAAAAAAAGTTTAGGTGAGTTGGATCTTGGGAGTTCATTAGAGTCAGGACATGCTTTTAAATTTAAAGAGCATCTAAAGAGATATTTACAATTAAATCACCCACTAACAATATCTTCACTTTGACAACTGTATTTATTCCCATACCTTGTGGGTTATAATTCAAATTTTTATTAATTGAACTAATTTTTATTGGCAACACTTTACACTATGAAGCCATTCTTTTGAAAGCTTATTTTCGTATCATTCTTGATTTGATTTTAGTAACTTCAGAAATTGATTTTGACAAACCTTTACCATTCATGTAACAAAACCTAAATGCATTTCTTTTTGTTAGATAGTAATGTTGAAATAGTATGCTATCCATATTGGGTAGTGCCAACTGTCAAGCTAATTAATATTGGGCCAACATTGTCTCAATAAAAAGTAAGAAATTTATTAAAAATTTATAAATTTTTTAATAAAAACAAAATCTATTGACCCTTTCTTTAAAAATAAAGTTTAGGTGAGTTGAATATTGAGTATTTATCAAGGCTAGAGTATGTCTTCAAGATCAAAGAGCACTTATATAAATAATTACAGATCACCGACCAACAAGATTCTTACATCGATAGTGAGATTTGAATATATGATTTTGTGAGTTATGGGTTAAATCCTTATCAACAAGACAATGCTTGGATTGAAAGTCGCATTCTTCGACCATCAATATTAATACTCAGCATTTATTCAATATTTTAAAAATATTCAAAATTATAGGAAAAAGTCTTTATAATAATCATAAAATCAAATATTACGTGAGATATATAAAAAACCTTATAAATTCAATACTTATAAAATCTCTCTCTCACACACACACGTAACATGGCAGAGGGTTGGATTATTGATGTTCTATTATTGATCTATAATTCAGAATCTGCGTAAACTCTGATGCAGTTTATTGTCCTGCTCTTTTCTTTAAAAATTAACAGTGACAATGCTATTTGAGATCAAAAATATAGGACATTAATAATTAATTGAATGTTTTTAAAAAATATTAGTTGAAATTTTAATTTTTTTTAAAAAAATTGCATCTTTTTAATTATACTCTCATTAAATACCTTATATAAGTATCTTGATAATGATAATTTAAATTGAAAAAAATATCAATTAAGAATCATTGAAGAAAATTTATATCAGTCAAAGATTATTTATTATCAAAACTTGAATAGATAATTGTTGATTCGAGTTAGTCTTTTATTAACAAGTATTTATTTAGGTTTTAATAACAACTTATTATAAATTAACAACAATTCATTCGAGCTTTTTTTAATTTAGATTTTAATAATAACAAGTCCTTGAATGATATTAACTTCCTTTAGTGGTCCTTCATTGCTATTTACCCATTAAAATTTTAATGCACCATTTTTTTAAAATAATAATAAATAAAATAAGAATAAAATTAAAAAATAATTAAAGAAATTAAAAAAATTTTTTAAAAAATATCTTATATCATGATAAATAGTATTTCTAGAGGATTACATGCCAATCGGCGAGTCTCCATTCAAAACCTTTCCCAACCAATAAAATGTAACCCATAAATTAACAAAATGACAAAAACTACTTCCTCCGTTAAGAAATATAAGGCATCTTTGAGTAGTTATATATTTAAAAATGTAAAACATTTTTAGTCTTTTAAGGTATAATTATTGACTTTTTTCAAAAATACCTCTATTAATAATGACTTTATATTTATTATAGGATGTTTAATATAGATAAATATATAAAAATAGAGTTAGTTTGAAAATAAGTAAGTACTGAGAGTAAAATTTAATTAAAAATATTTTATATTTTTAAAAGAAAGGAGTATAAAGTATTCGAAACTGAAAATGACATAGAGACGTCAATCATTCTCTATATATTAAAATAAACTTATAGTCAATCGAGCTTCCAATTTCTTCTTCATTCTCACCTAGTCCGGTTCACAGACTGAACAATTATAATAAAAACCTTCAGCTCCATCAGCTAGCTTTAGTATTATTACCAGAATCTGACGATGAGATTCTCTTTCGTGTTTGGTGTGATCTTCTTTCTCTTAACCCTACTTTTAGCTTGTGATCGCCTTCGAAGGTACTGGTCTTGTTCAAATTCTCGGGCCGTCGGAGAAGAAAGCAGCTCCGATGGCGTCGTCGACGTCACTGATCATGAAAGCAGTTTACAAAGAAACTCCAAGCCGCTTTTTTACTCAGAGGCGAAAAAGATCAGTTTCTTCAATCCTTTTTCTTCTGCTTCTTCTTCTTGTTCTTCATGTTGTTCAATCTGCTTCATGGATTATAAAGAAACTGATAAGTTGAGATTGCTTCCTGATTGTGGCCATCTTTATCACCTTCACTGCGTTGATTCATGGCTCAAGTTAAACCCTACTTGTCCCTTGTGTCGAACTTCTTCTTCTGTAGTTTCTACGCGGGACACAGCGATCATCAGTGTTGCTTAGAAGATTAGGTTCGTTGAACAGATCAAAATCACGAGGCGATGAACACAAATATAGATTCTGTCTAATTCAAAATTAGACGATGCAGCTTTATCATTATTTCATTTTTATTTTCTCAGTGATGATATTAGTGTTGTTTAATTAATAGAGTAGGTGATTTTGGACAAAGGAAATCACCTGTGTGTTTGAGTAACACAATGAAAGTGTTCTCCGATCTAACAAATTTTTAAATTTTAAGAAAGTACGTTTTTTTTTTTGACATTATTTGCTGAATCTGGATTTGAATGTCTAAAACAGGCAAATCCAAATAGTTGCATATGTTTTTCTACTATAAAATATCTTAAAAACTAGGACAAATAGGAAAGGTTAATGGTGGGTCACCGTTGCCATAGTTTAACCAATCATATCGACAGTTGAAAGGTATCAATTCTACTGTTCAAGTCGATCCGGTTTTGAGAGATTGGTGCTATAACTGGTCTTTTTTTTGAGACAGGGGTAATATCGTATACTTACAAAGCCTTTTTTTTTTTTTTGGTTGATTGTACATTTCAAGGTTCCAAAGATAGAACTAAATCATCGCTCATTCGACCGAAAAGGCAAAAGCTAAAAAATTGGTTTTGATTGGACTTGAAATAAAGAGAATGAAAAAGAAGAAAGAGAGAGAGGGGGGGTGTATCGGCTATGACATGACACATTGATGAGACATTCAGACAATAGAAAAGAGAGAGAGAGAAACTTTATGCCCGTTTATTATCTTCACCAACTTTTTTTTTTTAAGAAAAACAATTAAATCCTAAAATATTAAATAATTTTTAAATAATTTTTAAAAAATAAGTTATAAATATTAATTTAAAAAATTATTATTAAAATTTTTAAATATAATGATATTTATTTTTGAAACTTAAAATACTTTATTTATAATTAAAAAACTTGAATTTATAATTATTTAAATTAATTTTTTTAACTTATCAAAAAGTTAAAAAACTTGACTATAATAATCCTTCCTTACTTTTAGTTCTCTTAAAAGCTTTTCCCCCGATTCCATGTCTCCACTCTTCATCCTTGCGTGTCAGCTTTTGCTTCCTTTCATTTACCTATTTGCAAGTTCCCAGTAACATCACAAAAGAACTAGGAAAAAAATAATAAAAATAAAGGCAAAGCTTAATACTAATTTTATATATTTAATATACTTATATTAAAGTAAAGCATGTGATGTGAATTTTAATATATTAATTTAATTAATAAATTTATTGTAAAAAAAATATATAAAAAAATTTATAAATTTGGATTTAATTGAATACAAATATCTTAAATATATAAAAAATAAGTATATAAGTTTTTTTTAAAAGTAATAAAATTCTCACACTAATTTTTTATAAATGATATTATAAGAATTATTAGAGAATTTTTTTCAAAAAAAATCATGTCTATCCATTATTTTTACTTTCTCATATGAAATTATGAGAAAACATAGTTGTTGGAGGAACCAGTGCTTGTCCCTCTTATGCAACACTTCGAAAACTAAGAGCTAAGTGACGGAAGATTTTTAATTATTTATATAAACACATATCATGGATACTTCAAGTTCAATATGGTTAAATATTTATATTTATAATTTGAATTATACTTGTCAAAATATTAATTGAACTTGTCATTTTAATAATATTTACTTACCAATTTACTAAGTGAAACTTGTTAACGTTCAATATGCAATATGACAATTATAACCTAAGGTGTACTACTTATCAAAATGATATGAAACTTGTCATTTCAGTAAACTTAAGTTGCCAATTTTTTGAGGAAAACTTCTTACCAAGGTTCAATATGCAACAAACATTAGTAAAGTAATAAGTTTATGATAATAGAATAATGACAAATTTGATTAAACTTTTGACTAGTACATTTAATCTCATAAAAAAACTTGTGCATATTAAACTTTCTTCAACAATTTCCTTTCATAAATTGATAAGTAAATTTTATTAAAATAATAAATTCACCTACGCTTTTGATAAGTAATGATTTAAAAAGTGAAAACTAATTAAGTTGAAAAAATATATAAATTTGTATAATATATATAATTAAAAAGCATTGATAATTTAATGGTGACAAAGTCTTTTGATGAACCATTTAAAGGGGTCGTGGGTTCAAACCCTGCTTGGTCACCTAGTATGGGGATTTAATGGTTACCCACATTGGAGCTCTAATGATTGGCAATAGTGTCTTAGGAGTAGTTTTGTCTTTTCGTAACAAAATTTTATTGCATTCAAGTTCCTTAGTTCTGGAAAGCAAATTCAGAATTATTTAGTCCTTTCTCACAATAGATGTTCTTTAGTGGTCCTTAGATGAAATTTTTTTCTATAATAAGTTATCCAACTAATAAATCTTAAGTGTTGCTATCTTTGATTGATTCATAACAAGGAAATAGGTTAAAACCCCTTATAAAAAAAATCCTCAAGGGTGCTTTGTGCTAGGGACAAACATGCAACTTATTATGATAATTAACTTGGACGTGCAAAAGAATTCATGGAACAAATGATTGATTTGGAGAAAGCTTACATCAGAAACTCAAAATAAACTAGAATTTTAATATCTAAGTGCTCAAAGAGAAAGGAGTGCCTCAAAATATGATCAATAATGCCATTCATCATTGAATATCTACCCCTTGTTCAACTGCGTTGCTCTGAAATTGAGCCGAGACGACAAATTAATAATTTAAATCCTACTAAATCAATCTGAAACAGTTGGAACCTCTTTCAACCCTCTCTCTTTGCCGTGGTAATGAACAAGTCATCACATTTTACTATGGTTTTGTCGATGCAGTGGAAGGAAAGGAATGAAATCCAATGATAACTAGAAGAGGTAACACCAATATATACATATATTGCCTTTGCCAATGGTATTTTACTTTCCCATCCTTCCAGGGACATTCGATAAAATTGGAATGAGACAAAAATGATTAGCATGCTCCTAGTAAGAAGGGCACGCACAGATAAAGAAATGGTTAAAAAAAATGATCTTTTACGTTTCTCATATGAAATTAAGAGAATGCATAGTGGTTGGAGGAACCGCGCTTATCCCTTTCATATGCAATATATACTTTGAAAATTCCATGAGTACATTAGCAAAATAATTTTGAATTAAAAGATAAAAATATCTATAAATTTTTAACGTTAAATGAATAAGGATAAAAAAAATATCCATAAACTTGTCTGAGTAATTTTTTTCCTAATAGTAAAAAATAGCAATCATTAATTAGTTTTGCAAGATGAATTCTACAGTCATGCCAGGTGTCAATTTCATCTTCTCTTAATTCCTTTTGTTTTCTTTTTTCTTTTTGTTCCCAAATCAATGTCGTCGTCTTCTCTCTCACAAGCCACTCTCATCCTCTGTTCGACGTCTGGAACCAGTACTCCTACCTCCTCAACTCCTCCGTCAGCCGCCGCATGCTCTCTCTAATCACCGTCGACGATTGGCAGAAGGGCTCATAGTGGTTCCAAATGGACCATGACCTTACCCTCAGCACTGATAAGAGGAGTTAAGGAAGAAGAAGAGCAAAGCCATAGACAATTAGGAGAGACGACGTGCGGTAGCGGAAAGTGAGAAAAACGATGGCCCCGAGACTGTTCAAGCGAGTGGTGACACAAAAAAGTGATATTGAAACCCACGCTTCTTCAATGGCTACAGCCAGCAGTAGTGGTGCTCTTCTAGTTCCATATCGGTGCTTTTAAGGATTTGGCATCGGCTGATGAGTCAGTTTCCCAAGAATTAGACAGATCCCACAAACCGAGTGTTGTTCGATAGCTTGAGGTGTGACTGAAGCCTCTCCAGAAAAATTGGAGATTTTTGAGAGCACGACTTCTTCTTCTGGTCTTCAAATCCGAATTGGAGCCAGATCTCATCAATCCTGAATTGGATTCTGGAAATGAAATGTGAGCATTTGGATCCGAGCCATATCTCATCAAATACAATGAAGGTGTAGAAGAACTCGTTGATAAGCCCAAACCCACCTGTGGAAGAACCACATTCAAGCTGGATCTGGATTGCTTGTTATATTACTCTTAGCCGAGATTCTTAAACGTAGATTGAGCGTGGCTACTAAGGCAATTCATCCTTCTTCTGCAATCTTCCTTGTCCGTTCTGTTTTCTCATTAAGCCCGAGTAGGAAGTGATTGTAGGAAGGCCTGCTGCCATGTGGCTTGCCACATTAGATTTTTCAATCCTCTTTTGATCAACATTAGTCAAACATTGGCCAAAGGTTAAAAAAGAGATCACATTGCCCCACTTTTAATACTTTTGATGCAACATTGCTACTACTAATTAAAGGTAAGAGTACTGAGTACTCATTTAAAAAAAAATTTGAAGCACTAATGCCGCTAATCCTTTTTCTTTTGGCCTATTAGGGAATAATTTTCAAATATTGCAATGAAAAAAGTTTTATAGTCTGGCAACTATATATGTTGCCTATTTTAAAATTTCATTACACAATTGAAAATTGTTAGCAATTCACAACTACAAAATAAGTGATATTGGAAGATTATTTGTGTTCATATTGGTGCCCCCATCATATATTATAAATGTTATTATAACCATCCAATATTACAATATTATATAGTTCAAAGAAGTGTCCAATATATTGTCTAACAAAGGAAATATAGGAGGGAAGACTATATTAGACGGTTATGAATATTATCAAATGTTGGATGATTATGGTTAATAACTGTCTAATTTATTATAATTTTTTTATAATAGGGAGGTTGCATATTTCTAGTAGCGTTCCTGCAACAGACATAATAATCAATCTAACAATTTTATTAAAAAAATAAATTTATTTGCTATACATTTGCTCAATATAGTAGTAAGTAAAACACAATTGTTTGTCGTACTAAATCAAAATTATTCTAAATTATAAAATTTAAATGAGAAAAACTACATTAAAAATGTCCAACTTACTAATTTTTGACCCATAGCTAGAAAATGTATGCACACCATTCCTCAATGACTTCATTAATGTGATAGTCCCCAAATTTTTCACAATATAAATTAGGATAATACTGCAATAATGTAACATGGAATTGAATCTAAATAACATACATACCATGACGAGGATTAGACTCATCCCATAAGTGGTTATGTCTTTGAGAAGCCACATCTCATAATATCCACAATTCTCGCTATATGCTATTTGTTGTGGATGCTGTATAGAAAAACCAATAAATATGTCATTGAAGTAA